ACACACACACACACACACACACACACACGTTTGTTTCTGTGAATTTCTTTCCATAGACATCTATTACTTTTATACTGACCAAACGATATTTTCTATCCCCTAACCCTAAACCTACCCCTTACAGAAAACCTGTTTGCAATGTTACACTTTCAGATAAACATCGTTTACTATTTTTAATCATTTTTGCCCTTGTGTGGACCGCAGCACAATGTCAAAAATTTCAGATTTTACTATCCTTGTGGGGACATTTGGTCCCCACAATGTAGCTTAAACAAGTACACACACACACACACACACACACATTTTGTACACATTACGTAATCATTAATCATTCATTGTGCAGTGACTTGTACTGGACAAAGTCCAGAACGTAAATAGATAGTAGAAATACATTCAGATAAAATGAAAATAATGAACACTTAAAGAAATGTATCAATAAAATGTTTACAAAAATGTTCTATCATTCAATACAGGTTGGATAAAGACATGAGGAGAACAAGTCAACCAGCTGTTCTCGTCTAAAGGAACCAAATGTCTGTCTACTTATTCAGCATTAGCAAGACAATTCTGCCATGTTCATCAAATGCCATAAATCATAATCATGACATCTGGAGAGAAATTTACCTGGTTTCGGTGGCTATGCACAGTTCTTGGACTCCTTTTTTATTTAGGAGACACTGGATCAGACTTCATGTTATCTGTGCAGTACTTCAGAAGTGGACATCTCATCTGGGCCATACTGACTCTTGTGTTTGTTCTGGTTGGATCTATATGCATACAGGCATTCAGCTATGCATGGTTCAAAGATGACAAGAAAAATTATGAAGAAGATGACATGGGTCTGTCCACTTGCCATCTGATTGGGATACATGTACTGCAGATAGGCATTTTTACAAGGTAACTTCATGCTAATTTGTGACCCTGGACCACAAAACCAGTCACAAGGGTCAACTGAAAGCTGAATAAATATGCTTTCCATTGATGCATGGTTTGTTAGGATAGGACAATATTTGGCCGAGATACAACTATTTGAAAATCTGGAATCTGAGGGTGCAAAAAAATCAAAATATTGAGAAAATCGCCTTTAAAATTGTCCAAATGATGTTCTTAGCAATGCATATTACCAAACAAAAATTAAGTTTTAATATACAGTAGGAAATTTACAAAATATCTTCATGGAACATGATCTTTACTTAATATCCTAATGATTTTTGGCATAAAAGAAAAATCAATAATTTTGACCCATACAATGTATTTTTGGCTATTGCTACAAATATACCCCAGTGACTTAAGACTGGTTTTGTGCTCCAGGGTCACATTTATCATTTGAATCAATTTGAAATATGTGGACCTAATATTTCAAATATTAAAATGATAGTTCATCCAAAATAAAAATCCTGTCATCATTTACTCACCCTCATGTCATTCCAAACCTGTGTGACTTTCTTTATTCTGTGGAAAAAAAAGTTTTTGTCCATACAATGAAAGCCAGTGAGGTACAAAACATTTGACTTTTATTGTATGGAAATTAAACTGATGCATTTTTGTCTGCTTTTGTGTGTCACAGAAAAAAGAAAGTCATACCGATTTGGTACAACATAAGGCTGAATTAAGAATTAAGACTTGTTATATAACAGTTCTTTTCAACTGCTTACACACAAAATCTTTACTTGTCACACAATTTCTGAAACCTGACACTCAAACAGCAGAAGCACACACCAAATCTGGAAATCCCTACACTAATTCTCAGCCTTTGATTAAGTTTTCAATTTCATAAAACAGTTTTTGCAAAACACAACACACAATTCTCTATGTAACACACAAAAATCTATCAGGAATTAATATTATGGCAAAGGTGTTTGCAAATGTTTGCTTTTGAGAATTGAGATGTTTGTGATATTTTGAATGCAGTGCTTCGTTTTGCAAGAGATGTGAGGCATTTTGCATTTTGTGTGTGCAATTCTTGGATTTGTGTGTAAAGTTTTGAAAAAAAGAGGCAAAGTTTTGAAAATGTGTGTAACTGTAAATTAAGAAATGTCTCTTTTAAGCAGGCATACCCAACTCTGGCCCTTGAGGTCCAGTCTCCTGCAGAGTTTAGATCAAACTCACCTGCCTGTAACTTTCTAGTGATCCTGAAGACCATCAGCTTGTTCAGGTGTGTTTGATTAGGGTTGAAGCTAAATTTTGCAAGAAAGTGGACATTGAGGGCCAGAGATGTGAACCCCTGCTTTAAAATAAGGAGGAAAGCAAATGAAAATGTAACATTCACACATTTGGTTGGGCTACTCATTAATGAATTATTTTTATTTATTTATTTTTGGCCTATCTGTTATTCTAAGGTATCTCCATCTCCTGAAGAAGAGTTTTAAAGCCCTGCGTTCGGGACAGGAGGAGCAGTCACAGCTTATCGGTCTTGCTACCGATCTTAGCATGCTCCGCATGTTTGAGACGTTCCTGGAGAGCATTCCTCAACTCATTCTGCAGGCTTATATCATACTGGAGCACAACCATCGCTCTAATCTGCAATGTGAGTCCTGCACAGACACAATCACTACATGCACGTAAATCTAGTCATGATTTATCAGAAGAACGTCTCGGTTACGTATGGTAACCCTCGTGAGACGGTTCAAGGCAAGGCGCACTGCCAAAAACTCTAGGCAATTGATGTGCCAATGCAGCTGCGGGCCCGTCCAAACCCCTGAGACTGCATGCCCGTTGTACGTGGCACCCCACCCGGTGGTGGAGGCATCCGTGTAGACCACAGCATGCCTGGAGATCTGCTCTAGGGGCACCCCTGCCCGGAGGAACGCAAGATCTGGCCACGTGGTGAAGGTTCGGCGACAGGCCGGTGTAACTTGGACCCAGTGAGTGCCGTGCTTCCACGCCCACCTCGGGACTCGAATGTAAAGCCACTGCTGGAGCGCGACCGCGCACGTACTCCATACCGAGAAAAGAGATCCTCTGCGTCGGGGAGAGTTTGCTCTTTTCCCAGTTGACCCGAAGGCCCAACAGGCTGAGGTGCCGAAGCACCAGGTCCCTGTGCTCGCACAACTGATCCTGAGACTGTGCTAGTATAAGCCAATCGTCTAGATAGTTGAGAACGCGAACATCCTGCTCTCTGAGGGGAACAAGAGCTGCCTCCACGACTTTCGTAAAGACACGGGAGACAGGGACAGCCCGAAGCGCAGGACCCTATACTGATATGCCCGTCCTTCGAACGCAAACCGCAGAAATGGTCTGTGGCGCGGAAGGATCGACACATGAAAGTACACGTCCTTCAGGTCGATCGCTGCAAACCAATCTCGGGGACGGACGCACCCGAAGATGCGTTTCTGCGTCAACATCTTGAACGGTAGCCGATGAAGGGCCCGGTTCAAAACTCGCAGATCCAAGATTGGCCGTAACCCACCGCCTTTCTTGGGTACAATGAAGTAAGGGCTGTAAAACCCCGACCTCATATCGGCTGGAGGGACCGGCTCTATCGCATCCTTCGCCAGTAGGACTGCGATCTCTGCCCGTAGAACAGGGGCATCGGCCGCCTTCACTGTAGTGAAGCGGATACCGCTGAACTTGGGCGGGCGCCGGGCGAACTGTACCCGCAGTGGGGCAGCGAGGTGGAACACAGGGACCCAGCTCGGGCGGCTTGTGAGCGGGCCGGAGAGGGGTGTGAGTGTGGGGTGCAAGGCTCACCTGGTTCCACGGGTTGGCAGAGAGTGCGTGAGTAGGGCCTTTGTTGACATTCTCGAACCGCCCGCTGCTGCCGGCTGGCAAAGGAGGAGGATGAGTGAGGTCCGTCGTTAGTCCGTCCGCAACTCTCCGTGCCCTCCTGGGACCCAGATATAAAGGAAACTGCAACGATCCGTCGTCTTTATAAAGACGCACCCGTGTAGCTCTTTTAGAGAAATTTGCTCATTTAGGAAATGCTCTTTTAGTGCTGAGGTGCACAGGGGAGATGGCTGCTTGCAACACGACAGGGGTAGTGCAGCTTGAAGTGCGCGACCCACTCGACACTGGAACGACCACCGCTGAAGCGCCGTCTCGCCAACACAAGAAGCTTCCGAGAGCGTGCTGTACTCGTAGTTCTCTAAATAAATACAGTATAGAGCAGAACGATGTTGTCGCTCGGCTCCGAAGCGAAAAGCTGGTATGCATTGCACCTGCTGCCTTATTATACTCACGCTGTGATCAGCGGCAGCTGGATGCAATGATTGCATGCCAATGTGCATTGGCTCGTTTAGTTTACACTCGAAGTAGATTGGTCTATCGAAGCGATATCCCAATTCGTCGGTCACCGACGTGACTCGGAGTGACCGACTGAAAGGGAATCAGAATTTTGACAAATACACCACCATTTTAAAAGTTCAGGGTTATTACGATTTTTTTATTTTTAAAGAAACTAATAGTTGTATTCAGCATTAAAATGAGCAAAATTGACATTGAAGACATTTATAACAATTTAAAATAAATGCTGTTCTTTTATATTTTCTATTCATCAAAGAATCCTGACAAAGTATCACGCTTTCCACAAAAATATTAAGCAGCTGTTTACAAAATTGATAATCATAAGAAGTGTTAACAATGACTTCTGAAGGATCATGTGACACTGAAGACTGGAGTAGTGGCTGCTGAAAATTCAGCTTTGCATCACAGGAATAAATTACATTTTAAAATGTATATTTAAAAAAACTGCTATTTTAAATTGTATTGATATTGATATAATATTACTGTTTTTAACTGTATTTTTCATCAAATAAACACAGCCTTGGTGAGCATCAGAGAAATCTTCGAAAAACATAAAAAAATCTTACCAACCCCATAATTTTAAATGGTAATGTAAGTTTTAATTCATTTTAAATTACAATAACAGCAGATATATCAATTTAAAACCTAAAGAAATATATATATTAAAATGTTTTGCTTGAAAGTGTACTGTAAAAATGCAGTGACATTTTTAACTGAGACTTATTAATTTTTGGGGGGCCACTTTGTACTTAAATATGATTGTAAAAGACCATTTTTTGACCAATAATCAGGCTGATTTGTCATTTAAAAAATCTCTCTGTTTTTTTTTTAGACATCAGCATGGCCCTGTCTTTTCTCACCATAGCCTGGGCCACGGTAGACTATCGTCGCTGTTTACGGCAATCTCTAACTCACCTTAACAACATGCCTTCTGGAATCCCAACAGTCGTATATCTGTCCTACAAAATCTTTACCATAACCCCTCGAATCCTCAGCCTCACGCTCTTCATCATGCTCTCCACCTTCAGTACTGTAACAATGGCCTGCATATGGCTGTTGGGAACCATCTGGGCATTCTTGGAGGAGACCAGCTTCTGCACTTCACGAGCCCTTGAACATCTTTATCGAGCCGTTGTTGGAGTTATTCTCATGTTCACCTTCTTTAACATTAAAGGAGAGAACACCAGAGTTCACATGACAATGTATTACTTTTTAAATGTGTGTCACAACCTTGCTGCACCCGTTTTGTTGTTTCTGCTCAAACCGGAATCTGAACGGACTGACTACTTCCTGCCAATTATATTTTTTATATTAGTGTCAAATTTAATGGGCCTGGGTTTTCTGGGACTCTATTACAGCCTCCTGCACCCTCGTGGACCTGGCAGAGAGGACATGGAAGTAGATGGAATGGACGAAATGGATGGAATGGAACATGAGCCAAAAACAACACGTTTACAGCGTTTTTTGCAAATATAGTCTTGCTCATAAACGAATGAACTTGATTGACAAAAAGGTACATATTTATAGATATTTATGTTGGAATTGATAAAGTGTGAAGGGTCTATGTTTAAACGTTATCTGAAAGCTGCTAAGGAAGGTATGACATCTGATTTTACAGGTATGAAATGTTGAAGCTTAAAGGTTTCATTGAACCTATAAAAATGAGGAATAAGCTTTCTACTGCAAATTTTTGCCTTTATTTCACCCTCTCCCATAGAGCTGTCCAGTTTACAGTCCTAAAGTGATGAATAATGACAGAACTTGTGATTTTTGTCAAAAGGGCTTGAATGGAGTATGTTGGGTAACTCCTTAAATCAATGCAACAGTTCACAATTGTGTAGCATGAAGTTATAATATGCATTCCTACTTTAAGTTTGTGGTTACTGAAAGTTTTTTTTTTTTTTAATGTGTAAATGAACATAAAATGTTTGGGGCCATACGATTTAAAATATTTTTAAATGAAGTTTAAAAATGAATACATGCTGCTCACCAAGGCATCATGTATCTGATCAAAAATGTCAAATACGGTAAACACAGTAATTTATGAAATACAATTTAAATTACTGTTTTTATTTTATTTTAATATATTTTAAACTAATTTATTCCTGTGCTGGCAAAGCTGAGTTTTTAGCATCATTACTCCAGTCTTCAGTGTCACATGATTTTTCAGAAATCATTCTAATTTGCTGATTTGTGCTTAAGAAACATTTCTTTTTATTATCAGTGTTGAAATTAATTGTGTGGTCTTATATTTTTGTCCAAACTTTGTTTTTTTCAGGATTATTTGATCAATAGAAAGATAAACAGAACATTTTAAATGTCCTTACTGTCACTTTTGATCATTGTAATGCATTATTTTTTGAATAAAAGCATTCATTTCTTAAAAAAAAAAAATCTTACTGACCCCAAACTTTTAAATGGTAGCATAATTCCTCACAAACCAAAAATCGTTAGTTTTCTGATAGTAGTTCAATCACTACCACAAAAATAACACAAGATGGCACTGTTGTTCTACAAAAATCTTCTGAATTTAGTAAATACTGCCTTATCAGGAGATTTTGTTGACATCATGGAGATTTGTTAAAACATGAGCTGAGATTTAAAACTTTTTGTAATAAAGTAATTACTTTTTGATTTGTCTGCCGTCTATGATACCAGGTAAAAACAAATCAGCAGGCTACAAAAACATTTAATTCTGCATAAATTTTGCAAATACTCATTCAAAAATAGGCTGGGATTGTAATTAGCACTGGCAATTTATTGCAACATTAGTTTAAAAATGTCCTTCACATGAATATGTATGTCTGACTAAAGCAGAAAGATATGTGAACTTTGACCCTCATAATCTCTAGAGACTGAGAAAGGCTGAGAGATCATGCAGATTGCCTGTTTCAGAGCTAATTGAAAGATATTAAACCAATCCAATTGTGTTTTGAGTTTGACTACCAGCAAAATATTGTGCAAGCCAGTGGAGTGAGGCGAGATTGAGAGAAGAAGAAAAAAGAGCTAAGATAAAGAGAGAGGATTAAAATAGAGAAGCGGTCACAGCATTTCCTCAGTGTGCCGTTCAGTGAACATCTGTGCTGAGGCGGTGAGCTCACCATGCAGAGAGACTGCAGATTTATTCAACGGTAGTAGCCTTTCAAATAAACATGAGTACTGCTCTGCAGGCTGCAGGCCTTCTTTGATTTTCTCATGTATACATCCACACACACACAGTGGCCCTGAAAGGTATTTGGACATATTTCGGACATTTAAGTCACACACCGCCAAAAAATAAAAAAATAAAAATCAACCCAACTGGCATCTGCAAACAAATTATGCTTGAGTTGAGGTTTACTCCACCATTATCTTTCTTCTAGTTTTAACCAATTTAATTAATACATAAAATAATTAGGGGTTCAAGACTATTTGTTTATTTATTTATTTATTTATTGTATTTGTACTGTTTTGCCAGTTACTTGATTCATCATGTTTTGCTCTAAAAGTGTCTAAAAAGTCATTTAAAAGTTTAAAAGAGATCTCAAAATTAACGTGATGGTTACTGAAACCCCCCACTACTTAGGCACCCCCACATGCACCGTGCACTAGGTGGTGCTATAATACAAAACAAGAACATTATGTTCTTTAACATACGTTATGCCCATAATTAAACTGGTTTAATTCAGTTTCAAATCTATGGCTAATAAAATGAAAATGAACTGAAAAGTGTCTATCAGGCATTTATTAAATGCGGCATATTTCTTTTCACGCGTTTGTACAGCGTTGCACATTATAGCCAATCACGCACGATTCTGTTGAGCTTATGAATGAAATTAGCCAAACAGAGGCGTTCAGATAAACGCCGGAGTTTTGTTTAGCGCCCTCTGAATTCTGACTGTACATGAGATGTAAGAGATTCATTTATTATACAGTGTAGACAGCTTCAATGATTATCTGATTAACGGTAGCTTTTTGAGAGAGCTTAAACTCACGCTAGAAATCAGTGATAATGTTCTTTTTATAATGTAAATGTTCTTAGCCCGCTTTCTGTAGGATATCATTTATTTGCCATTTGAATAACTGTAAAAATGCGTTTATTCGCCATTTCAATAAACGAAAGCGTTATAATAATTAGTGACTTACGGTCTTGATTTGAATACGCAGTTCGAATCATATGCAACACAAGTAGGCTATGGCTTGAAGTTTCTTCTTTTTTTTTAAACACACTCCTGTCGTTAACGGTAATAAAATCCTTTATTTTAGTCTTTATTTTATATTATTTTAAAACTTTTCTTTTTAAATCTCAACAATAATATCACTAGGCATAATAATGATTATTGATGTAGGCTAGTGCTAAGGTTTCGGAACTGACGAATCTGCGACCGATCGTTGAAATCTGGCATTGAAGTTTTTTATTTTTTTTATTGAACTGTCAAAATTACAGCAAGTTCTTGAGACATACATTTTTTTCCGCTTTCTGCAATAATTAAATACAATTAAAGCTGCAAGCAGCATTTATCGGGGTTCAAGCGTATTAAAGGATTAGTTCACCCAAAAATGAAATATCCCATAAATTACTCACCCTCAAGTCATCCTAGGTGTATATGACTTTCTTCTTTCAGACAAATCCAGTCGGAGTTATATTAAAAATTGTCTTTGATCTTTCAAGCTGTTTAATGGCACTCAGCAGGTGTTGCAGTGCATCAGTCCAAAAGAAGTGAAATAAAAAGCGCCCATCCTTAATAAAAAGTGTCTCACACAGCTCCGGGGGGGGGGGGGGAACAATGTCCTCCTGTAGCGAATCGATGCATTTTTGTAAGAAAAATAACCATATTTAAAACGTAATAATCAATTTAATCTAGCTTGCGCTCACTGTTGTACACGGAAGCAGTTTCGGCCGGATGACGTAGGACGTCGGCTTTGTGCATGCGCCGCTCAGAAGTGACGCACGCGGAAGCGCAGGGGAGAGATCAAAACAAAACAACGGTCAAAACAAGGGTGTTTTAGGTTTCCTTAAGTAAAGCCATGTGGTAGAGAGAGTAAGCAAAGAGGTGTTTTAGGAATAGAAAATGATGACTGAAGTTACCAGGGCAATAATTAATTTTTTGCAAGAAAGCAGTTTAGTTAGAAGAATTTAAGATCACAATGAAGTCATGATGTTACACACTCCAATATAGTAGGTGGCGGTATGCACCTTAACATTGGCCTGTAACCGCCAGAAAACTAAAAGAAGAAGAAGAGAGTTAGCAATAGCAAGCAGCAGTAACCAGCATGGCTCACCTGCTGAACACATTGTGCTGTGTCCTGATTGGGAAATGTGTCATTTCAAGCCCAGTCTAAAGGAGACTTTTTTTTTTCTATTGAAGTGTACATTGCTGATGGCTTTTGCAGAGATGGTACATGTATGTATGGCCTATGTTTGGATTGATGCTAAGAGTTTAAGACAGTGTATTTGTATGCATTTTAGAAGGACTCTTTATTGGTGAGGACACCACATCATGCTCCAGTTTGAATATGGATTTAAAGTTATTTTTGACGTGAGACCATAGTCTGGACTATTTTTGATTGTTCCTTGTTGGGAAGAGTCTGGTGTTTGAGAGATGTGGCGTGTTTTCATTACAAGAGGTTGGATTAATCATTTGATATCAGCCAACTTTAGCTACGGACAGTGTTTGGAAATTGATGCACTACAGATAAGACTTTCACACACATCAACATTCACATTGCTTTTTTTGTACTTTTGTGTATGTACATTTTTGGCTATATGTAGCTGTATTAATCTGAATTGAATGTTTTCTATTTTGTATTTAATAAATCCATTGATTTGAAATCCCTTTGACTGCTGTACATTTTTGACAATATAGACATTAGTGGTGACTGCATCCATTTCAGATATATAATAACTGTTTTCCCCAAAGAGTTAAGTTATAGTAGCTGAAAGTATTTAAAGTGAAACAGATGTATTGTTATAGATCAGGGGTGCATCCTGTTCCTGGAGATCTACCTTCCTACAGAGTTCAGTTCCAACCCTGATTAAACAAACCTGTCTGTAATTATCAAGTGCTCCTTCAGATCCTAATTATTTGGTTCAGTTGTGTTTGATCAGGACCAGGTTGGGCACCCCTGTTGTAGATTAATAGTGTGGGCTAAGTGAGGGCTGCCCGTGCAGGGCCAGCGCTAAGGGGCCAACGTTTTGCCAATGAGCAAAATCTCAGAGGCCCTGCGCTGGCAGCCTGCTGGGGACTCTTAGGCTAACCCTAAGTGGGCCCATAAGGGGCCAGTGCAGGCTTGTTTGCAGGGAATGTAAATGTGATTTACAAATTCAAGTATTCATTTCAGTTTGTAAGAAATTAACTCGTTTGACAACTACTTATACCTATGCTTAAAGCTCGTCTTATTTGACTGTATATATTTTTTTTGTTTTCATTTAAAATCTTATTTGTGAGTGACTTGTCATCTGCCATGGTCTCTTCTTTCTTAAAACAAAGATATGC